CTTCGTTGCCAGTAAAGAGACTCGCAGACCGGAGTTGACTTCAGCTCTTTAATAATAAACAGTAACTTCAACTGCAGTCGAACCGCAGCAGCCCTTTTTATAGTGGCTGCTCCATGGCTCGCAACCAATGACATTTAGTTAAACTTCCCACCGCTATAGGCGGCCAATCAGATACTAACGTTACTACCCAATCGTATTGTAGCTTCTGCTAACCAATAGGAACATCGCCCTAGAAGTCTCTATTTAAATACACTACAAAACCTATTTGGGACAGGCACATATATTGCCTAGATCGGTGTTTCTTTTAGGGCTAAAAGAACTTTAAATTAAAAGCAACTTTAAATTATAGAAGTTGAACTTCAAGCATCTTGGCTAGAGAATTTGAGAAGTTGAAGTCCAACATCTTAAATTTGCTGAGACTGAAAAACATTGCATCAGGGAGGGTGATCATTCCATATTGAATAAGACAACATTGCCTAGTTAGAAACAAGTATCCAAAGTAGCCTGCAAAGCTATGCAGTACTTTAGCATCATCCATTCATTCGCAGAGGGGGAGTAACTGACTTTGTGATAAAAGCTAACATCTGAGAAATGTTGCCTGCTACATACTTGGGAATAGGACGTTGAAAGTGACAGCAGATTTCAAGGATAGCAAAGAATAATGTGTCCATTAAGGTGACACTATCTAGCTGACTGAGAGGTTGGCAAAGCTAAGCAGATCTGTATGGAAGACTGCTAAAATACCAGGGCTTTAGATTAGATTAGGAAAGTTGTGGGGTGGGAGAAAGGGAAAGATGAGAAAGCAGCAGTGATAGCCACTTCCAAGCTTGAAAACAATGTGGTTGCATCCATGACAGCACCTGAAGTTGAGCTCAGTTTGAGAGCAGCTTCAATTTTAGCAGTTCCATATTACTGTTATGAGAACAGGTCTGATTTTAACAGGAAGATAACAAAATAAGCATTTGGAAAATCCCACTGTTTTGTCAATACATCAGGATAGCTACGGTATTAAATAATGTTAAGAATTTAGGAAATACAAAGAAACATTTGTTAATGCTGGCTTCATATAGCATTGAGTTAGATAGCAAGATGATGTAGTTTTAATGGCAACACCTGCCAAACATTTAAGCAGGAAGTGAAGTTTGTGTGCAATGTGGAGGAAATGCCTTTTAAAGCTGGGCTTACTGCACTGAAAATGGTGTGCGAGGGTGAAACTGAAAACTGGAAATTAGATGCACCAGCAGGAGCTAATGTCCTGGCTGGAAATCAATGAACCTGCAATATCTGGAGACTATCAAGTTGAAGAAGGTTACTGAGTTCTAGCTTCAAGGGTACTACTAGCAGAGAATCAGCAAGTCCTTCAGAGATGATCCAGCCCTGTTCTCAAGGCACAAGAAAAACATCATAAACTAGAAGGAAATTTTCCTTTGTGACTGCAGATATGATTGCCAATGAAATCCTGGGTATAAATCCTGGGTATAAAATTGTACTCTCCACCCAATTATTTCGAATCAGTGTTCCTGGAGACATTTCACAGCTTTACAGTTGATGCTGTGAAATATGGCAGATTTTCACAGTACCAAATGCAGGCTGAATGTACTATAAAATCCTTGTTGGGAAACATTTTACCATCTGAAACAATTGTTTTCAGTCTTGTTTTCATCCTGCTGATTATTTATATCAATTTGTTTGCTTTTCTTTTAACTAGATTTTTGTAGGTGATTCTGGAATTTACACATTCTTCATATTTTACCTAATCTGCCTCCAGTTTTACTTTTTTATGTTATTTAATAAATTTGTATTCCCCCCTCCTCCAGTGTTATATATTTCCTTCACAGCAGGACTGTTGCAGTAGGTCAGGAGTGTCAAACTCGATTTCATTGAGGGCTGCATCAGGGTTGTGTTAGAACTGTGGGGCCTGGCCAGCTCAACGTCACTTGTTTTGGGGGCCCTGTGGTGGCCCAAGCACTTTGCCAGCGAAAACAGGCTGCCAAGTTCCATTTTCGGCTGTGCTGGCTTCCTCTGCCAGAAAAACAGGAGCTCAGGAGGGCCACAATCTTTGTTTTCACTGGCAGAGGCACCGCGGGCCGGTTCTTCACAGTTTCCAGGGCAAACTCACGGATCAGATCTAAGCACCCAACGGTCCAGATGAGCTTGACACCCTGCAGTAGGGCCAGGATATTAAATTTGCAAATATCTAGATAGCCAATAGATGACAACAAAGAGATACTGATAACTTTTTGCTACTGAGGTAAGGTACCCCTTATAAGCTAATTGCCTATGGAGATTTTCAAGGTCATGCTTGTTCCAAAGGTGCTTTTTTCCCCAAAAAGCAGTTAGACTTTGTTTTTCCTTGAAGACACTTCGATCTCATCCAAGAAGTCTCTTCAGTTCTGAATGGTGGAGGATGGAGTCATCTCCATCCTTTGCAGTCATCTGGTGATTAGTACTCTTTCTGAAAGTTGTGGAGGCCGCTTGAAGGTTTCTTTGTGCCCTCAGGGTCACCTGAATAGTACAAATGGGTATGGAACCTTCTTGGACCTGGTGAAAGGATTGTGTTGTTACAAGCTCATAGAAACATCCACATTTGATGCTCTAAAACCAGTTCAAATAACAGTTCCCTCCACATTTCTGGGTTCATCTATAAGAAGATATTTTGGAACTATCCAAGAGGGCTATAAAAGTATTGATGGCTTTTGTAATAATATACATGTGTGAACAATCATTCTCTGCTCTCATTTATCTTAAGAATAAGCATAGAAACTGCTTGAAAACATACAGTCAACACTCAGAACACGTTTCACTTATTAAGTCAGATGTATCAAGGTTTGTGAGTGAAGTGCAGCACCAGCATTCTTATTGTAATTATATGAACATAATGTGTTCCTCTTTTCCCAACAGCTTGCGATTAAATGAAATACAAGCTGTAAAATTATATTCATACCATTCTCTAGTTTTCATTTTCATCTGACTTTTGTATGCACAGTAGAACCACTGGTCACAAATGCTTCTGACCATGACCAAATCAGGTTCTGACCAAAAAATCCACAATTTTTTTTCACGGCTGATTTTCCTTCTGCGCCATTTTTTTGTAAGCACCAAATTTCCAAAATTAGGTACAGGACACGACCAAATCGGGTTGTGATCAAAGCTATGAAATGAATGATGGTCATGACCAGGGGTTCTACTGCATATATTTTATTAATGGTTCCATGTGCTAGTAGTTTCGCTGCTAGTATAGTTGGTGGGGCCCACTTTAATTGGGCTGTTTTTGTCTTAAACACATTTTCTTAACCCAATATCACACTTTATGGCCACAATGGGGCTGAAGTTCCTCCAGATGGTGGGCCTGGATTCAAAACAAAAATGATGATGATCATCATCCACTGTGTTTGAAGAGTACCTTGACATCTAACGGGTTGTGGGTGTCTATACACAGACAAACAAGACAAGAGGTAAGCAGAATTGTAAAATCTTTTCATCAAATTCTAGTATAAATATTGATATCAAATTCAGAATTAGCTCATAAAAATACTCTAAAATGGTCCATTGGAGTGAAAAGACACTTTTACTTTAAATTAATCATTGCAAGATATAATAGGAGTATGTGCATTAACAGATTTCCCCTTCTCTCTACATTTGAAGACTCTTCATCAGAAAATTGAAATAAATATTTGATGCAGTCTAGTGCTTTCAATCTTGAATTTAGCCTTGGTAGTCTAGGGCCATGCACCGTGGCTACAAAAGGTATTTAAAGGGGGTCCATGGTGGAAAAAAAGGTTGAGAACCACTATAATACAGAAACACTCTCTCTTTCAATTGGCTTAGTAGAGATGTCGCATTTAGGGAGTTTGGATCAGAGCTTTTCATGGTTTCTGTCAATATTTCCCTCCCAGTATGGTCATTATTGAGAAGTCCTGAGTCAGATACTTTATATAGTTCATTCTTCTTCTTTGTAGATAGATTTATACATGAGCAGAGAGGAGCAATTAAGTAGGGAAAAGACTAAAAAAATAACAACACTTTCTAGGATATAGTCCTAGCCCATTCAGCACATCCACAATCTTGGCTACGCTGAGAAAACAGAGGTGGAAAAACATCTAGCTTTTGCTACCAGAATGTGATCATTTATTATGTCACATGTAAATGCTCTTGCATATGCTCCTGTTCCCCCCAAAACAGCAGGGATGGCCCTGTAACAATAATAACCATGAAAAACAGTTGCCTTCCTTTTATTTCTTGCTAAGTGAATACAATAATTTGGATGTAGAAAAGTTGCATGGACCCTAGTGTAGTTCATTCCATGCTGGGATCCTGTGACTTGGTTAGGGAAGGTGAAATACTGAGCGGGTGGAAATCATATGCATGCAAACAGACAAATCTCTATGTGTGAGTCACTGTCCTCTAAATAGTGCCTCACCCCGCCTCACCACTGCCTAAAGGAGACTTCCTCTGAGTAGGAAAACTTCCTTCCTCCATCCAGTACAATCTGATGGGAACACCCAAGTCACATTGCATGCTTTCACAGGCATTCCACTTCTTTGTGACTGTGAGAGGCACAAGGGAAAAGGGGAACAAGCTGACATATTTGTGGAAGAAACCAATTGCTTTCTTTGGACTCAAATGCAAGGGGTTTAAAACCCATGAGTCTGTAAACACCTGTGTCTGCTGGTTGTGGCCTGAATGAAACAGGCAGCCCAGAGCAGGGTGTAGTGAGCTCATCAGGGTGCCCTAATGTTTCTTTTCCTTCAGCAGGGTTTTTCTGACTTTATCATTCTGGACTAACGTCAAAGCTTCCCTTGGAATCCAGATTGATACTCCGAACTGGATGGATTACTTTTGATCTTCCCGACAACCCTGCACCTCAGGATACTTGCAACAATGAAGAACCGGGGGCAAAACGTCCGGCCTGAACATTTTCCCACAAAGCTTTTTCAACTTTCTTAACTTGCCAATCTCTTATTGTGAAGAAGCCAAGAGAAACATTTGCTTTGAGATATTCCTCCCCACTGATCGTCACAGAGTTTAACGTGGGGAGGGGGGAAGGACCAGAGGCAGGTTTAGACCAAACACACAAGTCCAGGCGGCTCCCAACACAATCAACAAGGAAGAACCAGGCCACACCTGAAGAGGCAGGACAGATTGTGTGGACGGAGACAAGAGAAGAAACTGGCGAGATGTGAACCAGCAGGTAAAACCAGGGACTGTGGTGGGATCCAGATCAGGCAAGGCAAGTTGGGGGAGGGAGCTGAGGAGAAATCTAACAGCATGGGAAACTGATCGAGGGACTCTCCTTTTCCAAAATGTTGCTCTAACAACTGGAATTTGAGCACTAGCTTTTGATTGGCCCACTGAGTGTTTGGTTCCAGGCTTCATTGCTTGCCTGGGCAGGCCTCTCTTGTGGGGTGGAGAAATGGAATCCTGCCCAGTGCATGAAATGCACTGAAAAGGTTAGAAATTGCTTCCCAGCAGCTTTATGATAATTGCCACCATCTCAACAGTCCTCAATGCATTCAGCTGATATTCTGTAGATGGCGTGTGACCTCTCTGTCTTACAAGCCACTTCAGTATAATACCTAGATTGTCAAGGATTCTCCCAGGGAGGTTTAGAGTAATGAAACTGTAATTCAGATCCCATCTGAGTTAGTGAGTCGCCCTGAGGCCTTGGGTTATTTTCCAGGCTTCTATTTTCGCTGTCTCTAAACTATTAGGAACAACGAGACTGCGCCTACTACAGGTGGAAAATGCAATCAATAACAATCTTTTCTTTGGAAACACTAAATAAAGTGTAGGTGCATCTGTTGATTAGAGCACAGTTCATCAAACTGTGTTGTGAGGCAACAATTGCAACCACAACAGTGTAATAAATCAAAAACCTTCCCATAATATTTCTCCCCAAAGTCTGGAAAGAAGTGACATTTTTGAAATTCTTCTCCAAGCCCTCTTATTTAGCAGCTACCCATAGTTTTGCACTTGATCCACTAAATCTGTCTATTTAACCATTTTTTGTCTTCAGCCCACTTCCAACCTTGTTTTTCTGCTAAGGCGACTATCCAGTTCCCATTATAAATATATTTTTATTTATAATAAATACAGTATTTGCAGTTTAATACACTTTGTGTGATCTCTTTGGCACATGCTTACATGCTTTTACTTGTGACCCACTTAACATTTTCTAGGACCCTGAGGAGTCATATGGCCCCCAAATATGTTGTGAACTGCTGAATGAAATAATATATTTGTCTTGGTGGGGTAGGCTGGCCTTTGATTTCATAATGCATCATCTTACTTTTCATCATATCAGAAGTATGTTTTTATTTTTTGTTTAATTTATTTGTCATTTCCTGCCTTTATCATTTTTATAAATAGCTCAATGTAGCAAACAAGCCGAATACACCTTTTTCTTCCTATTTTCCCCACCATAACAATCCTGTGAGGAGGGTAATTTGACTGCCCAAAATCATGTTCCTGAGCCCCAAACATTGTTGTACTCAGGCATAGCTTCTCTGCACTATGTGTTGCTTTATTCCGAGTAACTGATTTTATTCCGTCAAATCTGAATTTGCACTACAGTTGACCTAATATATATTTAATATCCCAGCCTTCCAGGGGAGTGTCATTGCATATGTGCAGATATTTTTTTCCTCCTGACTGAATAAGGGAGTTGCCCAGACATGTAATAAATTGCTGTTTCCTACAAAATAATGGGTCCATGCAGATAAATGGGAAAAGACTATCGCTTTTACAGATAAATGATTCCAGCATAGATAGCAGCTGAATTTTTCAGTACAAAAGTTGTGAGCCAGTTGGGAAAGAAAAAAAATTATCTCAGGAGGTTCTCAATTTTGGTGTCAGGAATCTTCATGTAGACAATAAAGGAAGGGAATAATTCCTTGTATACAACAATACATACCTGGTTCTATCTATTGTATGCACTTGTGCAAAAACCAGATTCATAAGGAAAGTTCTAAAAGCGTTCTTTTTGTATACAACTGTACGTTTTCTGTAACTTTTAAGCCTGAGTATGTTTACTAATATATTTTTACCCTAGCAACATGGATCTATTTTTTTTAATTTCCTCATTTGAAGGCATGTGTTTTCTGTGTCCATATTAGAATAGCCAATTTTACTTCATTGTCTGATGAAACAAAGCAATACAAGGAAAGTGGTGTCTGCCATCAGTAGCCTTCCTCTATGGGGAAGTGGTAAGTTTTTCTAAGAGAGTAATTTATGCATTAAGCTGAAAGACGTTCAGAGATTTGTAACCTAAATACAATACAAAATAAATTGTATTAACTTTTTGTTCAAAATATTTACTTCTGCATTTTTCGTAGTTGATAAAATAAATACTTGGGTGGAAATAATTTTTGGGGTATTATATTCTTTCAATTTTATTTCTCCTGAATGAAAAAGAATATTCAATCAATGATTATAAACAACTTACATACCTAAAACTGATATTGATTAGCCAATTAGTTAAACAAATCAATCAAACTGCTGCACATTTTACATGCTACTTGACAAAATTTGGGCTTCTTAAGGAAATAAAATAATTTCAATCTGAAAATAAAAGTTTAAATAAAATTATCAGAGTGATCAGGATATTTAATTAGGTGTTGGTTTAATAGCTCATGATGATTGTCAACAAATGCAAAATATAATAAAATATTTAGCATTTTACTTTATAAATCTTTGGCTTCTTTGATACATAGATATAATTGGACATATTTAGTACTATGGATGTGAGAAGGAAAACTATATGGTAACTGTAAATTGTATTGTTAAAACTGCAGGTATGCAATCCCACACTCTATTTTAAACAGAAATAACAAAAACTAAGGATGTTATCTTGCTTGTAAACTTCCAGCAGGGTCTATTCAGCCACAGTTTAAAACAAATTTCTGGGTCAAATAGAGTTTGAAGAGATCAGCAGGACTTCGCGGAGCTCCGCTTGTCCGCAACACTTTGTCACAACATCAGCTGCCTTCTCCCCAGAACTTTGTTCTTATCTGGTATGCAAAACCATAGAAAAAGACCCAGTCTCACTAATTTTAGAAACCTCTGCTCTAGTTGATAAGGAAAGAGTTTCCAAAAGAAATTAATTTTTCTAGATGGGAAGATGATCTAAATAACAGGAATTGCAATTCTTGCTCATTGACATTTGACATTTTCACCATTAAAATTTATATTTTATCATAAGGATTGTGTTGCTTTATCTTTTGATAAACAGCTAGAGACCTGAAATGCTGCTCCAAGATAGCTTAAATAATGAATGAATTGCAAAGTAAAGAAAGGTTTTTTTAAACATCATGTAGTTTGGCAAAACAAAATACAAACAGAAGCACAAGCCAAGCAGGGATGGAAAAGTCTGAAATGCTAGGAAGGGAGAACAGATTGGGTTACCTTTACCTATTTTAAAAGGAAAAATGGAATAGAATTTCAGGGTAGACCAGAAATATTTTGATGTGAGGAGAATAAAATGGCATCACCAACAACAAAAGGAGAAAAGAGCAGTCTGTGAAGCAATCAGAGCGGCAGGGCACAGGCCGAATAAATTGCTTTGGCCCAAGGAGCCATAGTTTGAGGCCAGAGGGGGGCGGCAGCATGTGAGTGGAGGTCTGGAGCAAGGCCCGAGTGGGGGAATAATACATTCCCCAACCTAGCTAAGCCAAGCAGATAGAGGCTCCAGGGCAAAGCCAGAGTGGGGGAATGGCATGTCCCCAGGCCCCAACCTGAGGCAAAGGGCAAGTGGGCAGCATGCTTACCTTGGTGAGCAGAGAGGGTGAGGCGAGGCACGAAGATTAGCTGGGCCATGTGGCGAAGGCAAAATGTATAGGGTGGGGTGGAGTGGGGCGGGGTGGAGTGGGGCCAGCCAGTAGGGCGATTTGCCAGTTCTCTGAACTGAGCAGAATCGTTACTACCACTTTGGTAGAACCAGTCCGAACTGGCTGAATACCACCTCTGATGAGGAGGCTTCAAGATGTGGTTTAGAAGCTGATCCTTTACAAATGTGTAGTCATCCTGTTATAGTATGGTTAAGGCTGAAAATTAACTATCACACTATACACTTTCAGTAGCTTGCAACTGAAAATTAGAACAAATTACCAATGAAAGTGGTAGAAGAACATTAGATTACCTTGTCAAGGATGAGAAGAATAATGATGCAAAAAGAAGTACATGTGTATTATTTTGGGGGGCAACAGAATTCTGTCATTAAACAATTCTATCATTCCTCCTCAAATTAAATATGCATGAGCCTGTGTGAAGTCATGCTTGACAAACATTTTTTTCTTTCAGAGGGACATAAATAGCCCACTTTGGGACACTAAAGATGGAGTCACCAGGCAGAGAGGAGGAGACATACGTGCTGGTGGAATATGCCTTTGAATATACCTCCAAGGATGGCCAAGTCATCACAATCAAACCCAATGAGAGATACATACTTTTAAGACGAACCAACGACCACTGGTGGCATGTTAGGAAGAGCAAAAATTCCAGGCCTTTTTACATTCCAGCTAAGTATGTTAGAGAGTTGAACCCCTTCATGCCCTCTGAGAGGCCATGTCATACAACACAGCTGGAGGCTATCAATTTGGGGACCTCCATTGGAGTTGCCAATGATCAATTGCCAGACTATGAATATCGATTTGTGACAGCTGTTCAAGAATGCAAAACAGATACCTCACAGCAATATCCCAGCTCATTATGGATGGGAACATTAATGTCTCTGGAAGATAATGGGAAGAATCTACACAATTCTGGAGCAGCAAGAGGCACACAACTCTCTCTCAGTGCCTCATACAGTTCTCTTAAGCCACTTTACCTGACAGACTCTAATCATCCTATGGCGAGTCAAGGTGGTTCTGCTGAACACATGAGGCCTGCTGTATCTCTGAATGACTTGCCAAGATTCACACCTCCCACCCAGACAGATGTGGGAAATTCAGGATTGTACAAAACTGCTTCATGGGCTCAACCTCACCCATTTCTGAAGAACAGTTCTGAAAACATCCGTAAATTGGTGAAGGACCAAGTGATACAAGACATGCAGGAATGCTGTGCCAAAGAGGTACTCTGACAATTTCTTATCAAAGGTCTGCATTTCCTATGCCCAGATGTGTTAGCTTATATATTCCCTTATTCCATTTTAATGGAACATTAATACAGGGGCTATAGGAATTATAATTCAGTAGATTCTGAAGATATTAGAGTGGGAAGGCTTTTATGTCTGCCTCCAGTAATCCCTTCACTGCAGTTTCCATAATTCCTGACACTGTGGAGTCATGGGAATTTTAGATTAATTAAAACTGATGATGTCACATTGAAGAAGGCCAAACGAGAGACTAGAAATAACAGTTGCTTAAAAACTATACTGGATTAGTGTTAGCCATGCTGAGAACAACTCATTTATCATTTCTAGACTTGACTCTGACCTATTTAGCCTTATCGCCTGCAGGTCTCCTCAGTATTCACTGTTCTGCAGTCGGTAGGATCCCTGCTAAGCAATTGTTGAAATCCCCAGTTTTCCTTATTTGAATAGATAATAGACTTTCCTCAGAATCATTTCTTCCTTGCTGAAAGACATTCTGATCTCAGTTCAGTTCCAGATAAGTTTGCCAAACTTCATTACAATATTTCTCTGCAATTGATGTTCCCAATTTGCTATAAAACCTTCGTATACTTTGTCTCAGATTCTGCCATTTCTGAATGGAGATCTTAAGGTAGAATGTTGTAATGACGAGGCAGTCGAGTTGTTTGATCATGAACAACTGAATTATGATGATGATCTTTATGGGAGTATAGTCTTGCATTTATATACATTTTTAGTTATCCTCCATCATTGGTTAACTTTGGTTACTGCTTAACTTTGGTTACTGTTTAGTGCAGTAATCCATACAATTAATTATCTCTAGTTAAAGTCTAACATATGTCTACTTCCCCTCTCTAATCCTCCTTTAGATTAGTGACTTTGTTTGCCTGAGTTGTATTTTCTTGGAAACATTCTTTATCTGAGGTTTGCCATCCGAGATTGGAACATTCCTGCAATTACAACTCTACATATCCTCGTTTTTTATTTTAAATGGAGGATTCAAAGATTTATAAATGTATCGCAATTGAAGAGGGTTAAGAGAGGGGGAAGCGGGATGAAACAATGCGAATAAATTTGGAATACATTGAATAAAACAACAGGTTGCAATTAGTACAATAATAATAATTATAGCATAAAAGAAAAACTGTCTGAGCCAAGACCAATCAGGGAGCCAATTGGTTAGCCATTCAAAAGGTGAGTAATGAGCATGGATATTATTTTGAATGTATGATTGTACATTGGCAAG